CAGCCCGGCCTGTTCCTGCTCTCCGCACTAGGCGTGAGGTGAGTCCCCAGGGTCCAGCATGCCCTGTTCCGGCTCCCCGCACTAGGCGTTATGGGAGTCCCCAGGGTCCAGCATGCCCTGTTCCGACTCCCCGCACTAGACCTGAGATGCGTGTCCTCAGCCCGGTACCTCCAGTTCCGGCACCACGCATCAGGCCTACGGTGCGTCCCCAGGGTCCAGCATGCCCTGTTGCTTCTCCCCGCACTAGCCCTGAGATGCGTGTCCTCAGCCCGGTACCTCCTGTTCCGGCACCACGCACCAGGCCTACGATGCGCCTCAGACGGCCAGAGTCTGCCGTCTGCCCAACGCCGTCTGAACTGTCCGTCTGCCCAACGGGGCCTGAACTGTCCGTCTGCCCAACGCCGTCTGAACTGCCCGTCTGCCCAACGGCGCCTGAACTGCCCGTCTGCCCAACGCCGTCTGAACTGTCCGTCTGCCAAGCGCCGCAGGAACTGCCCGTCTGTACTGAGCCTGCAAAGCCGCCCGTCTGCCATGAGCCTTCAGAGCCGTCCGCCAGACCGGAGCCGCTAGAGCTCTCTGCCAGACAGGAGCAGCCAGAGCCTTCCGCCAGACAGGATCAGCCAGAGCCTTCCGCCAGACAGGATCAGCCAGAGCCTTCCGCCAGACAGAATCAGCCAGAGCCTTCTGCCAGACAGGATCAGCCAGAGCCTTCTGCCAGACAGGATCAGCCAGAGCCTTCTGCCAGACAGGATCAGCCAGAGCCTTCTGCCAGACAGGATCAGCCAGAGCCTTCTGCCAGACAGGATCAGCCAGAGCCTTCTGCCAGACAGGATCAGCCAGAGCCTTCCGCCAGCCAGGATCCGCCAGAGCCGTCCAGCCAGGATCCGCCTGAGCCAGCCAGCCAGGATCCGCCAGCTAGTCAGGTACTGTCCCTTAGCCCGGTGCTGCCCCTTAGTCCGGTGCTGCCCCTTAGCTCGGTGTTGCTCCTTATCCTGGTGCTGTCCCTTATCCTGGTGCTGTCCCTTAGCCTGGTACTGCCCCTTAGTCCGGTACTGCCCCTTAGTCCGGTACTGCCCCGTAGTCCGGTGCTGCCCCTTAGTCCGGTGCCGCCCCTTAACCCAGTGGGGTGTAGTTGGGGGGGTGGTAATGTGTAGGAGGCTAATTAAGTGGGTAATGACTATGGTGGGGTGGGGATCACGACCAGCGCCAGAGCCGCCTCCGTGGAGTAACACCCACCCAGCCCTCCCCATTTTTGGGTTAGGCGCGGTCGGAGTCCGCGCCTTTGGGGGGGGGGTACTGTCACACTCTGGCTCCGGGACTGTGTGTTAGAGCCAGGGTGTATTTCATTTGGTGGGGTTGGGTTGGGTGAGTTTCATTTGTTTGTGTTTTTGGTGATTGGTTAATGACTCCCAATCGGAGGTAACGAGTGTCAGCTGTCGGCTCGTTATCTCTGATTGGGAGCCATATATATTCTGTGTGTTTTCTCCTTGTGTTTGTGGGTTTTTGTTTCCTTGTGCTATGTTCAGTCGGTGTCATAGAGAACTTCACGTATCGTCTTTTGTTGTTTTTTCGTGGTCGCTTTGATAATTAAAGTCATCATGTTCACTCACAACGCTGCGCATTGGTCTCCTCCTTCAGACGATCGTGACACATACAACAGACAGGAAGTGTGTTGTAGACAGGGGATTGGACAGTAGAGGGAGCCACCCACATCTCGGGGAGATTATATATACTGGGGGGGAAAACGAAGAAGAGGTTAGAGCGACCATTGCAATCTGGGGCGTCGCTCTCCGGGTGGGCATGACACCTGTAACTCATGCTGAAAGCTTGTGATATGAATAAAACTTATGATCAAAGGTTCAGTATGAGCGGACTCCTTTGTTTATCAGCAATAATTGCCAGCATTTACTCGATACGACACTAGCTCGTGCTTGACTTTACCCACCTCCTTCCTTGTTCTGCCCACTATGCTTAATTTGCTCCCACTGTAAACGACACAGAAGACCTGTCTAGTTATAAATATTTTGTTGTAGTCCTTAAACCCCAAAATAAGTTACCTCTGGTTCGTTCAGCCAGAGAGGAAGCAGAAGAGGAAGAGAGAGACCCAACTTGGCGGAAAATCTATCTCCCTCCAGCAGGTGACGTTTTTTTTATTTTTTTCGCCCACCAAGCAATGAGTTTTTGTATGGATATCAATTTTATGGAGTGTCGAATTTGGTCAATACATTTTTTTATGGCTTATTTGCTACGTGAGGTTTATTTGATCAAATAGGAGTTTTGTAATTTTTAAGTTGTTACAAGTGTACGTGACATCCCAGCAACTTTGAGAAAAAACACCTCATATCGGAGTTGTCTCAAGATGGCTATGCATATTCATGGTCTGAGACTAGTAGAATAGCATCTCAATTTCAATTCAATTCAAGGGGCTTTATTGGCATGGGAAACATATGTTTACATTGCCAAAGCAAGTGAAATGGATAAACAAAAGTGAAATAAAACATATTACACTCACACAAGTTCCAAAAGAAAAGACATTTCAAATGTCATTATGTATCTATACAGTGTTGTAGTGATGTGCAAATAGTTACAGTACAAAAGGGAAAATAAGTAAATATGGGTTGTATTTACAATGGTGTTTGTTCTTCACTGGTTGCCCTTTTCTTGTGGCAACAGGTCACAAATCTTGCTGCTGTGATTGCACACTGTGGTATTTCACAGAATTGATATGGGAGTTTATCAACATTTTATTTGTTTTCAAATTCTTTGTGGGTCTATGTAATCTGAGGGAAATATGTGTTTCTAATATGGTCATACATTTGGCAGGAGGTTAAGAAGTGTTTACACATCATTTTGTGGGCAGTGTGCACATAGCCTGTCTTCTTTTGAGAGCCAGGTCTGCCTACGGCGACCTTTCTCAATAGCAAGGCAATGCTCACTGAGTCTGTACATAGTCAAAGCTTTCCTTAATTGTGGGTCAGTCACAGTGGTCAGGTATTCTGCCACTGTGTACATCTCTCTCCATTGAATACAGACGGTTGACGTCAACAACCCTCATCAAATATTCAAAAAAGTATTACAATAATGAGATGTATCCACCAATCCAAAGAAAGGATAGGCAGGTGCTAGACAGCTCGCCGTGCCGCTTTGTGGACAACGACTCCCATTGTTAGGGCGGAGAAACATGTATCTTGTCAGTATATCCACAATCTTTGGTTTAGCCATTCCTATGGGGAAAATTAATGGGGAAAGAATAGGGTTCTGGGTTAAATGCCGAAAATAAAGTCTGAGGTTAACACAAGTTTACGAGATCTTCTATGTTTTGTTCTGTGAGATAATATAAGTCAGTTAACATGACCTTTATGAATGATGAAGCCTTTATGTGCTTTTTTAAATTACATAAATGCTTCAAAATTCACAAAAAGTGACATTAGCTGATGAAGATTATCTCATAGAACAAAACATATAAAATCTCCTAAACCTGTGTTTACCTCTGACCTTATTTTTGGCGTTTATCCAAAAACACCATTCATTTCCACTTATGGCTTTGTCCAACGAACCATGGCAGAGTTAGTGTGCCTACGAAAAGACGCCATTACTATTTCTCTATGGAGTTTCTGGTCAATATAATGGATAATCTGTGGCTCTGCCAAGACCTCTAACCAGATGTTACGGTTTTCAGGAGAAATGTAAAGAGAGCCTGTGGCGCAAATCCGCTTTTGGACGTTAACAACGTGACACTCCATCTTAACTACACCACAGTTACTGGATTGGTTCAACAGTGCAGAAGAGAACCTCGCCCAACATGTCAAGTCCAGGATGTAGGGGATCTAGTTTCAGACTTCTGTTAGGCCTGCTGTATTAGGTTAGGGGAGAGATAACCAAATAGAGAAACAGGATATACAATCGAAGTGTACAGGACAGAATGTAAATAAACGAGCCCAGGGTTCACATTATTCCTCACACTGGATTCACCTCCTATGAATAGCTACACCACCAGAGATAGAAGAAGAGCGATGGAATGAGAATGTTATGTTAAAGGCCAGGAGTTTTACCTGACCACTTGACCTGACCAGGAAAAACTCTGAAGCTGTATGCCAGCCTTCGGCATGTCAGTCAATCAATTACTAAAATAGAGACACAAGTGAATTTATGGATGCTGAACTGGTGGTGATGCATGAGACGGTGGGGAGTTATGGATTGGCTTCATTAAACACTAGGTGGCGCCTTATACACAAATATAATCCTGTTTTTCGTCAAACCCTTGCAAGGGAAGTAGTGTTGTCTGACGAAAACTGAACGGGGGAGCCTACTGTACAAAATCAAGGAGCTCAGTAGGTGTGTAGTGTAAAGTGTATTTAAATAATGTAATGTACTTTAGAACTTTAAGAATTTATGAAATACTGCACAGTGGTGGTAATATGTTGGCCAATCTTTCTCAGCAGCAATGATACTGTGATTTCTGGAGCAACTTCTGAGAAGGTGATGTATTGTGATGTCAACTGACACTAGTCACCCTTCATTCCCCATTGCTTTCCACTGACATATTCTTTGCTGTATGTGTGGTGTACCCTGACCTTGTACCGTATGCATGACTTTCAGAGCCATAATCAATCAAACTCAGACCATAGCTGATGATAGTCAATGTATTTGGTCGTACAATTTGAACTAGATATCCACAGCTATGCATTAAGAAATTCTAGTAACCTACTGGAATAGTGGTGTGTACTATAAAATAACTTGGTATTGTTTGCTGTTACTGTATTTCTTTAATTAATGATATTTTAACAGAATAGAAGAGAAAACCTTTATTTTCACAAGAAAATTACAATATTACACATTACATACATTTTCCAGAAACAGAATCTATTGTGCCCAGTGTGAAGAAAATAAAATCAGTAAGATCCTATCACTCTGGATAGTCAGTCTGTGAGGCTATACAGGGCCTCTCTACTCTATAATACAAGAATGAAAAATAACATATTAGTTTGTCTACAGTACATTAGTCCACAGTTAACCTTTACAGACACAATTGAAAAATTGGATTCCAGACAGATGTTTGTCATGTTAGGCCTGCATATATATATAAGACTTTACTATCAGCCTTGAATTTACTTTCAAGTGTTAGTATTGATGATCATGCGTCTCTCAGCAATCCCAGTAACAAAATTGAGCGCAGACATTTTGAATACTAAGGTATTAATTTTCTCATAAATCAAGATTTGTCCTAGATTTACCAACATTTGTACTAGTGGTATAGTGAATATATTTTCCACATTATTCAATCATAAACAGGCGATGTAAATTTGAACGATTCGGCAGGTAGTTCTGGCTAGAACTGGCCCACAGCACCTTCTCTATCAAGGCCATCCAGGAAGTTCACAATTTCCTCAGCTCTGTGTCCTCTATTACGGACAATGGACAACAAAACACGAATACTGCTGTCACGTTGGTCAGTGGGTAGCATAATCTCTGCTGCCTTCTTGTGGAAATCAATTGACCTGGAAGCATTTTTTTTTGCATGAAACAGATGTTGGGCATACCAGTTGTAGAATGTTTGTAAATCCTGTGGTTCCATTCCTTCTCTATCAAGAAGCAGGTCCTCAAATATCTTATCTGCTCTATCAACGCTGCCAGATTCTCTGGACATGGCAGACAGTTCCAGTTTAGCGGCAAGGGATTTTGGGTAGAGTGCAACCAACTCTTCATAAAGGTTGACTGCATTTTCAATCAGAATATGCCTCATTGGGTTCCTTTTCTCTTCTGGAGAGAAAATCTTCCATTTGTAACACTTCCCAAGATGCCTCTTCAGCTGGCGTGAATCAGGGTGTCTCTCCAGGGTCCTTCTTGCCAGGTCAATGCTTGAATCATGAGAGACGTGATCTCTGAAAAATGATAGTAAGATTCCAAATCCACCAAAGCTGTCCAAAGGCTTCTCTGTCACTTCCTCTGCAAGTTTAAGTGCTTCCTCAACCTGGCCACTCTCTGCAAGCCTCTGCAGGTACATCATTGTGATGGTCAAATGTTCTGGATCCAATTCTCTAGCAATCCGTAGCTGCTCCAACATCTCAGATCGCAGCTTCGCGGTAATGTTTGTCCTATCAACAGATTTATTAAATGCCATGGCGTAACCGCAGCGCAGCACCTTGTTCTCAGGGTCCCCATTTAAGGCCATCTGGAAGTAATCTAGCGCTTCCTTCCTCTTGCTTACATCGAACTTATTCAAAGTCCAGGCCTTTTCACCCCACACTACACCTGGGCAGGGGTTGTCCCGCAGTAGTCTGCCCACCTTCTCCACATAGGTCTGGCTCTCTGTCAGCTCCCCTTGGTGATAGTGCACCCAGGCCAGGTTCCCATAGTGGACCACCAGACTCAGCTCCACGTCGTCTGGACTGCATTGGCGAATGGCCTCTTCAGCCTTCTTCAGGCATTGAAGAGCGTCCTTTGTGGAGCCCAGAGCATGTTGTAGGTAAGCCAGGAGGTTGTACAGATGACCTGCCCAGGAACATTGAACCCCCTCTCTGCTGCTGATATCTATCATGGTTTCTCTGAGGCTTTGAAGTTTAGATCTGCTGTAGTCCAACTTCCAGGTGAAGTGGCATTCCAAACCTTGCAGACTAATTTTCAAGGAGGTCTGAGCCATTCTGGTTAAAAAAAAGACAACAGTTCAATCAAAATAGTTTAGAACTAACTATTAGGGGAGATATTTCAGAACTGGATTGTGTGTGTGTTTGTGTGTGTGTCTGTGTGTGTGTGTGTGTGTGTGTGTGTGAGAGAGAGAGAGAGAGAGCTTACGTCTTAGTTGGACAAGAGAAAGCCATCTTGTGGTCTCTGAGTTTCAAGAGCAAATTAATGTCTGATTAGATACCTCACTGGCTTATATCCTGATTTTATACTGTATGGACCACATTCTTATCTTAGAATCAGCTGGTCATGCTGTTTACTGCATCACTTTACAACCAAGTATCAAAGTTTCGTTTCTAGCCATAGTTTTGTTTCTAGCAAATAGAGACTAAAGCGAATGGTCATTGCACACACCATTCCAATAACATCTACATTTAAAGATCAATCAACTGTAATCAACCAACCAACCAATCCATCATCCAAATTACTTAATAAATATTTAGATAACATTTCTGAGAAATTAATGCAAACATATTTCAGCCTTTTTACTGTATGCAAAAGTAAGAAACACTTTAGTGGATTGCTAACTGACCCATTTTAATTGACAGTTACAGAAATGTTGAGTTAACACGTTGAGCAAAAGTAGGTTTTGTGTATCACATCTTAACATCTTACAGGTAAAGTTTATTAAGGTCAGAGAGCAGGCTCTTTCAGCTCCAAGGTCTAGCTGTGTTGTACATCAGAGGTAAAGATGTAATTTTTTATGGCATTGAGTGTTTCTTATTTTATGACATCACGTGTGGTTTAGCTCTCCTTGGTGATAGTGCACCCAGGCCAGGTTCTTATAGTGGACCACCAGACTTAGCTTTTTTAGATACATTTTATTATAATGTTTGAAACATTTTATGATACGAGTTCTTCTTCTAGAGAAATCAAAACCAATGTCTCATCATCTCATTTTTGGTGAAAGATGGTGAGAGATGTGACGTTAATGTTAAATCGCTGTGTGCCCCTTTAAGAGCACACAAGAGTTATTGGCTGGGCCAGGGTTTCCCAAATTTGTTTTGTTTTTTTCCCTAGCACTTCACAACTGATTCAAATAATCAAAGCTTGATGATGAGTTGGTTATTTGAATCAGCTGTGTAGTGCTAGGGCAAAAACCAAAATGTTCACCCAGGGGGGTGGCCCCAGGACCGAGTTAGGGAGACCCTGGACTAGGCCACGGGAGAGAGAAGCCAATATACCTCAGTCGAGATAACCAGATAGAGAAACAGGATAAGAGTATGGGACAGAATGTAAATAAACAAGGCCAGGGTTCACATATTCCTCACACTGGATTCCCCTCTTATTACTATGAACAGATAACACCACAGGAGACAGAATGAGAAGACAGATGGAAGGAGAATGTTATATTTAAGGCCAGGAGTTTTACCTGACCACTTGACCTGACCAGGCCAAACTCTGAGCCTGTATTCCAGCCTTCTGCATGTCAGTCAGTCAATGACTACAAATAGAGACACATGGGTGAATTTATGGACGCTGAACTGGTGATGCAGGGATGGGCAACTACAGTTCTCGTGGCCTGATTTGTGACACACTTTTGCTCCAGCACCTGTTACCATACCTAACTCCAATAATCAACTAATCGTGTTCTTCAGTTTAGAATGCAATTTGTTTAATCAGGTGTGTTAGCAATAGGGCAGCACAAGGTAAAGGTGGAGGGATGCATTGTCTTTATTAAAACACTAGGTGGCACCTTACACAAAAATCTAATCCTGTTTTTTGTCGAACCATTGCAAGGAAAAGAGTGTTGTATTTGACTAAGACAGAAGGGGTAGCCTACTGTATAGTGATGGGCATTCCGAGTCTTTTCGGTGAGACGGATCATTTTGCTCTGTTCAACTAAAAGAGCTGTTCATTTGGCTCTCAAATGGCTCTTCATTAAGTAGTGCTTAAACATTTACATAAATCCATGAAAAAATAGCTCTTCTCTAATTAAAGCATAACATGCTACCTACCGTTATGTCACATTGTGACATGCAAGTTAAAATAAATGTTTATCTGACCAAATTAATAGATGGCCTGCAAAAAATATGAAGGAAAATAATTCGCGCTTTGGACAGTGTGTGGACCAGAATGATGCGCTCTCCTCAGTTTCTGCAGTGAGGAATTACCATCTCCAGATAATGTTTTTATAACTTATCTACAGATAATTGTTGTCGGCAGCTCAAAAAGCAGTGGTAACAGTAGGCTATACAAATCAGGGAGACAAAGAAACGGCTCTTTCACAAATGCGATTCGACGTTCACCAAAAATATCTGTTCAAAAAGAGCCGTTTGTTCGAGAATGACCCACCGTCACTACTACTGTACTGTACAATATCAAGAAGCTCAATAGGTGTGTAGTGTAGTGGGTATGTCAATAATGTCACGTATAATAGAACTTTAAGAATTTGTGAAATACTGTATCTTGATACTGTGATTTCTGGAGCAACTTTTGAGAATGTGATGTATTCAAAATCAAATCAAATCTAATTTTATTTTCCACATGCGACGAATACAACAGTTGTAGAACTAACAGTGAAATGCTTACTTACAAGCCCTTAACCAACAATGCAGTTTTAAGAAAAATAAGTGACACTAGTCACCCTTCATTCCCCATTGCTTTCTACCAAAACTCTGTCTCTGACCGTGTGCCCTGAACCTGACCTTGTACCTACATAAATCAAACTCAGGCATACTCATATTGGTTTACCCAGCAACAAATACTAAATACTAGGGTCTCTACAGTGTCTGTTTTTGAAGAAAAAAACCCACAAAACTAAAATAAACATGCAAACAGCTGGACACTATAGTCCATGATCATGACATGATCAAACAGTATCTATCTTTCTGCCTACGGTTCAAGCGGGTGGGAACGTGTTGTCATAGTAGACCATTTGAAAACAGTTACTCTCAACTATGTTAAACTAATGAATAATGACTTACTTCATTGTCTGAAGCAATTGTCACCCTAAATATTATTTCATTTCCCTTTGACAGATTACATTTTCATTTGAGGACAGTTGTTCATAGACGCAGGGGGTTAAATAGTTTGGAAAGTGAAGCATGCCGTTCCCTCCTTACGGAGTTCCCCAGCAGGAAAAGCCTAATAAGGACATGCGGTATGTCACATAGAGTAATAATACAGCCTCTTTAAGAGGCATCCTCTACTGCCTGCAGACTGAAGACCATTGGATCAGTAAAGATGGAGCCCTCACTGGAGTCCTCCTCTCCTGCTACAGAGTTTATGGAACAGGATAAGAGCACAAGAAGACTTTCTCCGCTCTCCTTTGTTCCCCGTCCTGTTCTCCCTGACACTCTATCTGAGCTGCTGCCTGCCTTACCTGTGCCTGGACACCCTGTCCTCCAGATTAGACCTGGTGCACCACTACAAGATCCAGCCACAGAGCAGCGTGACCTGGGTAATGGCATGGAGCTGCCTGGCTACCTCCCTGCACACCCAAACTGTGTTCATCTTCCCCCTCAGCATTCTGCACTGGTACTGGAGACCAGTGGTCCTCCCTGCCCAAGCCCATGGGGCTCTTCATGTGGCCTGGTACGTGCTAGTCTGTCTCCTCCTCTTTGACCTGCAGTACTTTGTGTGGCATGTGTTGCACCACAAGGTGCCCTGGCTCTACCGGACTTTCCATAAGGTGCACCACCGCTACACAGCCACCTTCACCATGACCACGGAGCACTCTGGGGTTGGGACCTTTGGGG